GTTCGCCCCGGTGGGCGCCCAGGGCCGCCGCGGGGTCGCCGCAGCTCCCGGCCCAGCCCCGCGCGAGGGGGCCGTGTGGCCTTGTGTGACACCCGGGCTGGCACCTGCCCCTGTCGCTGCTTCTGGCCACACTGGGCAGGGTCACCCCCTGCCACCAGGGTGCTTGGACATTGCAATCCATGAGGGCACAAAGAGCAAGCCCACGGGCAAAAGGACTTTCTTTCCTGAACAAAAGAACTGCCTTTCCTTTTATTTTTCCCCCTTTCTATTTTTCCCCTCTTTTGATTTAAAATAAAGATGTTTCCAGGCAGAGATTTTTTTTTGCATCAAAGTGTCCTATTTCCTGACACAAAGTAGGTGAATTTGAGTGCCCACCAGGGAATAGAGGAGTTGCAAGGACAGCCAAGAGCATCAGAAAAAGGCACAAGTTTCAGCAAGTGCATTAAAATGGGGCACAAGAGGGGACTCTCTAAAACAAGAGATAATGAGATGAAGCAAGATTTAACTGTTCCTATTTTTTACTTGCATCAGTTAAATGCCGAAATGTCACCTTTTTTTTCCTTCTGCTTTACTCCTTTAGCGTTTTTTTACATTAAACCTGCAAGCCAGTGGTACCTGCTTTTCCTCCAGCAGACCCCTGTCACCAGAGTGCCCGCCAAGAGCCAAGACAAAAAGAAAAGAGAGAGAAAATGGGCCTGTTCCCATCCCTTCGGATTAATGGGAACAAATCGAGCCTGCTGTCCCCACAGGGGCCATCAAGAAGCAGGGAGGTGGAAGGGGAAAATACCACTCTATTTATACCCATACTGGAACCTCCGTCACGGTGCTCAGGGGCGCTCATCGGGCGCTTCAGCCTCCGAGAGCTCTCACCCTGGAGTGCATTTTTTTCCTTTTATTTTTTTTTTCTCTTTTTTAATTCCTAGTAGAACCTGCTCATCTTACCAGCTACACCAACCAGCAGCCCCTGGCAATACCAGTGACGCAGGAGAGAAACTGGGCATCCAGAAGCACAAAAGGTCTCAGGCCAGGTTCTGGTACCGGGACTCTGCAGAAGGTGAAGCAGCCTCAGAACAGATTCTACGGACTCTTCATCTTACTCTGTGGTTCCTTTTCTGGAGGAACTCACAAAATAAATGCCGAAAGGGAAAAGTGTAAATATTCAGGTTTAATTATGTAAGAAGTGTGGGGCATTTTGTGGCATACAAAAGTAGAAGCAGGGCTGGAAGGCACCAGAAGCGCCAGCGGCGTTTCCCTGCTGTGCCATGGGGCCGGTCCCGCTCCGCAGTGGTCTGGGGACGCGCTCACCCCGCCGCTGTCCCAAAAGGCAGGTGCTTCTGAGCACCCTTCGTGCCTTCTGTAGGACTGAGCTTGCAGCAGAGCGTTTCCTCCGTGTTTAAAGGCACTTGCTCGTAAATCCGCAGGAAGCAAGGGCCGGTGGTGGAGGGCAGCGCATTGCGGCTCTGACCACAGGCTTGGTCAGGCACTTGCAGGCAACACCCTTCACAGCCCAGCAGAAAAACGGAACCCTTGGCCCTTCTGAGAAGTCCCTTCTGAACCCGGGCTGGTGCGGGGATCCTGCAGACGCCCCGACGCGACGCAGCTCCAAAGCAGCATCTTCCTCCTCACGCGGCATCGCAAGGCGGAGGGTTTCGGGTGGGATTTGCTCGGATCCCAGCACCGTGCAGCAGACGGGAGCGCTGCAAGGTCAAGCAGCGGGCAGGTCGAGCTCGAGCCCTAAAAATAACGCCCCGCACTCACAGCCCGCGCAGGGCCGGCCGCGGCTCCTGCTGCCTCATTCCTCCTCCTCCCCGGCTGCCCCCGCGCTGTTGCCAGGAGAGCTGTGGGGGCGCTGGGAAGCTCTCACAAGAGGCGGCGGTGGCGGAGCTGCCTATGGGCTGTGGTTTAGAAAGCGGCTCAACTGATCCTGAATTTCCTTTGACCTCTCAGCTGTAACCTCCTGACACGGCACAATCAGGACAGACGGTCGGAATCGCCCACGACTGCCCAAGCGGAGGCAGCCGGGCCGGGCCTGCGAGCTCCTCTGCCGGGAAGCTCCTTGTTTCCCCTTTTCCTCAGCCAACAAGACAGCGGCCGTGACACAAGGAGCTGTCCCTGCAGGGCTGCCAGGTGTGCGCATCTCTGCTTTTCTCTTACACGGCTTGGACTTCACCCTTCTGCAGTGGAATCGCGAAAGGGCAGTGTGAGCAACCAACACACACCGGCCAGGCAGCGCGTTCTGTAGGAGCTCGCCAGAATGCCGTATTTTCCCTCAGAAGCAATCAACATGCACGCAAAGCCACGCGCCTAAGTGGCATCTCGGTGGCCCGTCGTGTTGGAGAGCCCCGCTCCGAGGTTGGCGCGGTGCCGTCCCCGCAGGAGCCTGGATCTGCCCTGTGCAGGAGCCACGGGGCCCAGCCCGGAGAAGGCAGCTCCCTAAGGAGGGCCCTCTCCGACCCGCGCACGCCTGCCAGGAGAAGGAGGGGAGCCAGGACAGGCCCCTGGAACACGGAAACGGGAAACAACAGGAAACGGGGAATTTCCGCGACGGCAGCGCTGGGCGCGCTCAGCGGGCCTGGCCCCTTCCCAGGGCAACTCACCCGCTGCAGGGCCCGTTTCACACGGCGCCGCCGGGCTCTGCGCGGAGCCTGCGGAAGGAGCCACACGAGCGTCCGTGAGAGCCGTCGCGAGGGCTGCGGCCCCCACGGCCCCTCGAGCCCTTGGAAAGGTGACCACGGAGGGGAAAGGTGGCCGCAGCCCTCCCTGCGCAGCCCCTCTGCCCTGGGCTTGTCGCAGCGCAGACACCCAGAGCAAATAAGAGCAGAGCCGGGGGCTCCCGTTACCCGATTGCCTCCATCTCCCTTCTCATCTGCTCCCTCCTCTCCTCGGTGATGGGGTAGGTGCAGAAGATGGCCACGGCAGCGAGCAGCAGGCTGATTGGGACGGGGGCCATGAGCAGCTGGAGGGCCAGCGTGACGGAGGGGCTGCGCCTGCAGTCTCCAGCGCGGTAACCTGCAAAGCTGGAGAGGAGCGCGCGTGGAAGGCACCGCTGCCGGCCGAGGGAGCCGAGCGGGGAGCTCCGGAAGGGTTCCAGCTGTGGGAATGGTCACGCTGCCCCCCGTCCCGGCGAGCCGCTGCGGAAGGGCGAGCGGGCGCTTCTGCCACCCCGCTCCGGGGGCTGCCACCAGAGACCCAGCTGGGGGATATCCCATCCCTTCCCGCTCCTCTTGCACTCAGTAGATGTCGGAGAGACCAATCTGGATATGCCTATAACCCACCCCAGGGTCTCTTGTCAGACAACCAGGATCAGTATCGTTCAGTATCAGTATCCAACATCCGTGCTGGACTGGCAAAATAGGGAGAGTAAGAGTTGGTGCTTACTGTAAACTCAGCGTCGATATCCCCACGGCAAGGCCGCCTGCAAACTTGTTGAAGAAGACGTAGAATGAGTAGAAGAGAGCCTCCAGGTTGAGGCAGCTGGGGTTCCTCAGCCTGAAGTCGTCCACGGCGTCGGGCAGCATGGACCTGGGGGGACACAGCCCCGCAGGGCCATCACGAACCGCCCCGGCGCCGTCCAGACCCGGCTGCAGCCACTGCCGGGCCTCTCCGGGCAGCAGGAAGAGGTGCCGAGCCCTGGCAGCCCCTGCTCTGGAGCCTCTTGGGCGCCAGCCCTTCGCACTAGGCAATGGGGGCAGAGAACATCTCCCAGGTTGCAGCAGATTCTTTGGGAAAGGCAGAAGAAGAGAATGCTGCTTTGCATGGCACCCCGGGCGATGCTGCACGGGAGTGTCGCTCACTGGGATCCCATCCCTTCCCGGTTCCGCTGCACGTGCCCCTGTGCAGCCCAACGGCCCGTGCAGGGAAGCCTTGGCCTGGCATGGGGCTTCCCGTCCTTTCTGGGAAGCCTCGGCCTCATGCGGCGCTTCCCGTCCTTCCCGTCCTCTCCCTCGCAGCTTCCTCGGAGCTGCCTCCACTCACCAGGGCAGCAGGTAGAGCACAGCCATGCTGCAGCCTGCCACCATCATGAGGAAGATGAAGGCCAGGAAGTTGTGCGTCACCTGGGTGATGGCCACGAGCGCTGGGATGATCAGCTGGGGTGCGGAGAGGAGACGGAGCGCGTGGGTCCCCCCGCAGACCCCTGCGCTGGCCGCGCGCCCGCTCTCGCTCGCAGAGAGGGGCTGCAGCCCCCGCATCGCCCTGCTTGGGCGTCCGGCGCAAACCCACCAGCAGGCCCAAGGACACGGCCGTTTTCTTCCCAAATTTCCCCAAAAGCCACTGCCAAAACGGGATGGAGAGGGCGGCTGAGACCTGTGGAGAGCAGAGGGGGCTCTCAGCAGGACTTTCCAGGTTCCGCTGGCGTGTGTCCAGCTGACATCCTTGGTGGCAGCAAGCAGTAGCAGTGCTGGCTCCACAGGATCCGGCATCCCACGTGTGGCACTGCCACCCTCCTGCAGGGCCCGGGTAATCCCAGGATCTGCTGGAGCCGGTGGGGACAGCAGGGCCAGAAAGTGTCACTTACCAACATGACAAGCAGCAAATGCTGGAACTTCCCAGCCAGGCCTGCAGCGTGAGTACAGAAGGTGGCAAAGATGCCCTGGGCAATCTGGGAAGGGAACGCGGAGACATTCGTGGCTGCGGTCACGGGAGAGCCTGCCTGGAGCGCCTCCTCTCCCCGGCTGTCCCGCTGCCGAGGCCGGTCCCGCACCTGGAAGGCCAGGGATGCGCAGAGGAAGCCGCAGAGCAGCTGGACGTAGGGCCTGTGTCGCACGACCGTCCTCA